TGTTCCTGCGACATTATCACTCCCTGTCTGGCTAGTCCAAAGTGAACAGTTATCGTGGTCCACCAGAGTGCCACTCAAACCAGCACTTGTAAGCCAGTGGTCGCTGCTACAGTGGTCCACCAGAGTGCCACTCAGACAGGCACTAGTAAGCCTGTGGTCGCTGCTACCGTGGTCCACCAGAGTGCCACTCAGACAGGCACTGGTAAGCCTGTGGTTTCTGCTACCGTGGTTCACCAGAGTGCCACTCAGACAGGCACTGGTAAGCCTGTGGTCGCTGCTACCGTGGTTCACCAGAGTACCACTCAGACAGGCGCTGGCAAGCCTGTGATCCCTGCTACCGTGGTCCACCAGAGTGCCAGTCAGACAGGCAGTGGTAAACCAGTGGTCTCTCCTACCGTGGTCCACCAGGGTGCCAGTCAGACAGTGGTCTCTGCTACCGTGGTCTACCAGAGTGCCAGTCAGACAGTGGTCTCTGCTACCGTGGTCCACCAGGGTGCCAGTCAGACCAACATCACAGCCATAACACCACAGTCACACACACTCCGCTCATAATACTGAATTTAATCGTATTTTTTTTAGATAATATTAGATATCCACCACAACAGTAATTAAAATATATAAATATTTCCGTACTCTTTAATAATTAAAAAATCCTATTAACCTTATGCCCTAACTAAAAAAAGTGCATTTAGGAATAAAAGTATTTTAAAGGGAATATATGTTTTCAATCATATTCGAAGATTTGTTGAGAGATGAACACACTGCTAATGAGCTATAACTCTTATAAACCAATAAATGAGTAATTTATATATAATTTAGAGTGTTTATTCTCTCCTCCATGTAATTATCGACTCCAATTTATAGAGAGGTCACCATTAGCTCTAATAACTAGGAAGCTCATGGCGTAACTACCAGAGTGGAACGCTAACTACTGCCATTAAGATGATTGTTGTCCCGCTCTCCAATAACGATTCAATTATGAGAAACGACTTCATAAAGTTCGACAATGGAAAATGGTAAAGACAAAAGAAAGTGTTCAATGTATTTGGAAAGGTGGTGGAGGACAATGGGAGAAGAGAAGGATGAGGAGGAGGAGGTAGTAAGACAGAAGTAGGAAACGAACGAACGGAAAGAGAAAGGAATATCTGGGAAGTTGGAGAGTGTGGGGGAGGGAGGTGAGTGGGATGAGGGAATGAGGGGTAAGGTAAGACATCATCTTGGCACGATAAGCTTGTAAGAATCCCACACTAATTCCTTCATCGTGTTGGAGAGAATGTGACAGCTCAGATATGAGCCACAAGACATGTCTTGATAAGACAAACAGAAATACGTATTAAAATTTATCTGAACACAATATGACTCAATGTGTGACGAAATTGGAACATAAATAAGTGTAATTAAAAAATGCATTGTCTCCAAATAAATGATAATTTACGAGAAGCGTCTCTCTGACTTTCTCGCGAGAGTGATTCTACTGGCGAAGATTAGCTCGCTCACTCATGTCTGGTCTGGTGACAAAAATCTCAAACAAGATACACAACAAGTCTTCGGAGAGACAGTGTGTCTCTCCGTGTGCAGCTGCTTCAAGTTGTGGGTAATGCTGTTGAAAATGTCACAATACACAATGTTAGAAAACTCAGCAACACAACGTTAGAACACACCATAACAACGCACGTTACGACACATCACAACAACAACACGGTGCTATACAACATCACGCATCACGCATTACAAAAACATCACGCATTAGAAAATATCACAACAACAGGACGATGGTACAAAGCATCACAACACGCAGTCGCTTGCCTGGGGCACTAATTGCTTTTAACACGACTTCCACCACAGATTTGCTTATGAATGAAAGGTTTTCAGAGAATAAATTAAAAATATCTCGTGACGCTGTTGATAAAAACAAAAGAACGATATATTAAATGACAAAAACTGAATACAATTTATATAGACGAATTTATATACGTGAATTCATATCAGTGAATTTATGAAAATGTATATATTCGCACAAGAAAAATATTCTCTAGGTAAGATACAGCAGCGTGTAGGATTTGAAGCCGATCGGAAGAGACATTCTGTAGTTATTGCACGGAAAGCCATTTGCTTAATATAATATGGCACAATGTAAGAGAAGGGAAAAACACATATAAAGGAAAAAAATCACGAATAGACAACACTCAGTAAGGTCAGGACGTAATAAAGATCAAGATAAAAAAAATTGAAAAATAAATATGTACCTTTTCCGAAATCGAGCAATAAATACCGTGAGTATTAAATTAAAGTCAGATAACTACAGGTGAAAGTGAGAAATGGCTGATTTTGTCGTTTTGTTGAATTCATTGAAAAGACGTTTTCGTCCCCGCTGGACGAACCATTGTCTCAAGAAAATGCCATAAAACAGGATATTGCATCAGATTTACAACTTGACGGTATATTTTACCACCGGTAAACAGGCTAACTTTGTGCATGTCAATAAGGAGATTCAAGAGAGATTGTGACGGACTCGGGAAAACTACAACATTGCTCAATCTGAATATTGCTTTTAAAGTTAGTAGTGGCGCCTCTGTCCCCAAACATAAGGGAAAGAAAATCAAAGTTTTGAAAGCAGCTGCAGCAAGTTTACAGATTTTTGTTAAGTAATGAGCAATTTACAAAATTGGGCTGAAAGGAAAATTCCTTCATAAAATACGTAATAAGTTGCCTATGGCTGCGCATCAACTTCGGGAAAAGCAAATACATTGACTGGTGCACTTTTGTATGTATGGACGCAAAGGTCGAAGGACGCACTAACGCATTCGTGGACAAGAATACAGACAGACATGCACACGCCCCATACGAACGCAACAGGAACAAAGACAATGGAAATGGAATAGAGAAAATTTTTATATATATAAAAATATATATATATATATATATATATATATATATATATATATATATATATATATATATTATATATATATATATATATATATATTCAAGATAAAATCGCAGGGCCATAAAGAGTTCCCTGCTCATTTTCGTAGATTCCTTGGCTGATTGGATCCCTGACACACTCATCTGACTGGAGGAGCTACATTCCGGCTGAGTGACTGGAGGAGCTACAGCCTCACCTGCAGTTGGTTTCGGGCGTTTTTTTTACCAATACCGATACATTGCTACATCCCTAATATACTGTATAACACACACACACAACACACACATACACACACACACACACACACACACACACACACCACACACACACACGCACACACACACACACACACACACAACACACACACACATACACACACACACACACACACACACACACACACACACACACACACACCACACGCACAACACACACACATACACACACACACCATACGCACACACACACACACACACACACACACACACACCACACACACACACACACACACACCACACACACCACACACACACACACACACACACACATTATCTATATGTATATATATATATATATATATATATATATAATATTATATATATATATATATATATATATATATATTATATATATATATATATATATGTGATAATAAAAATAAAAAATATTTATTATTATTATTATCACACTGGCCGATTCCCACCAAGGCAGGGTGGCCCGAAAAAGAAAAACTTTCACCATCATTCACTCTATCACTGTCTTGCCAGAAGAGTGCTTTACACCACAGTTTTTAAACTGCAACATTAACACCCCTCCTTCAGAGTGCAGGCACTGTACTTCCCATCTCCAGGACTCAAGTCCGGCCTGCCGGTTTCCCTGAATCCCTTCATAAATGTTACTTTGTTCACACTCCAACAGAACGTCAAGTATTAAAAACCATTTGTTTCCATTCACTCCTAGCAAACACGCTCACGCATGCCTGCTGGAAGTCCAAGCCCCTCGCACACAAAAACCTCCTTTACCCCTTCCCTCCATCCTTTCCTAGGCCCACGTCTACCCCGCCTTCCTTCCACTTCAGACTGATACACTCTTGAAGTCATTCTGTTTCGCTCCATTCTCTCTACATGTCCGAACCACCTCAACAACCCTTCCTTAGCCCTGTGGACAACAGTTTTGGTAATCCCGCACCTCCTCCTAACTTCCAAACTATGAATTCTCTGCATTATATTCACACCACACATTGCCCTCAGACATGACATCTCCACTGCCTCCAGCCTTCTCCTCGCTGCAACATTCATCACCCACGCTTCACACCCATATAAGAGCGTTGGTAAAACTATACTCTCATACATTCCCCTCTTTGCCTCCAAGGACAAAGTTCTTTGTCTCCACAGACTCCTAAGTGCACCACTCACCCTTTTCTCCTCATCAATTCTATGATTCACCTCATCTTTCATAGACCCATCCGCTGACATGTCCACTCCCAAATATCTGAATACGTTCACCTCCTTCATACTCTCTCCCTCCAATCTGATGGAGGAGGTGAATGTATTCATCTAGAAAATGTAATTGCGTCTCATCTGGTATACTATTTTCTGAAGAGGACACGACCATGTAGTTTGAGGCTTTTGGTGGGCGAGGAGAGAGAGAGAGAGAGAGAGAGAGGGAGGGAGAAAGAGAGAGAGGAAGTTAGCGAGAGAAAGAGACTGTTATCAACATGTCCTTTATAATTATTAACTTATCGAATTTCATTTTTTTCCTTCTCATGTGAAAACTAACAAAAAAAAATATTCATTAGAGTGTAAAAAATTTCGTTTATTATCAATAAGCTGTTCTGAGTTCAGTTTTAACTCACTGGTCTCGTTTTTTTTTTTTTCAATTTTTTTTTCGACCCGCAAGATACTTCATTCGAAAAATATATTTAGATAATTTTCCTCTTAGCCATTTAAAAAAAGGTCGAAGCCACACACAAACACATACACACACACACACACACACACACACACACACACAGAGATGGACAGATAGATAGTCACAGTTGATTGATTGTTTTCAGTAAGAGGAAAGGGTGGGAAAGAGGAAGAAGAAGGAGAAAGGTGAACAGAATCAGGAGGAGGAGGAGGAAAGAAGAGGAGGAGAGAGCTGAAGTATTTATCACCGCTGCCAGATATAAGCTGGAAGCTTTAATGGGGACCAAGACCCCTTTGTGACCGAGTGTGTTACGTGGGTGGTGCCTGCGTTGGTGTTGATGGTGGTGTAGGTGGTGCCTGCGTTGGTGTTGATGGTGGTGTAGGTGGTGCCTGCGTTGGTGTTGATGGTGGTGTAGGTGGTGCCTGCGTTGGTGTTGGTGGTGGTGTAGGTGGTGCCTGCGTTGGTGTTGATGGTGGTGTAGGTGGGGCCTGCGTTGGTGTTGATGGTTGTGAAGGTGGCGTTTGCGTTGGTGGTGATGGCTGTGTAGTTGTTGCCTGCGCTGGTAGTGGTGGTTGTGTAGGTGATGCCTGCGTTTTTGGTGGTGGTTGTGTAGGTGGCGCTTGCGTTGGTAGTAATTGTGGTGGTTATGGATGCATTTACAAACCACAAAATTTTGTGATTAATCTCTCAGTTGTTTTCAAGAATTTGAATTAACCCCTAAATATAGAGAAGCTTCATACAGCTAACCTGGCCCACCCCAGCCTGGCCAATCTCAGCCTGGCCCACCCCAGCCTAGCGCTCCCCACCCTGGCCCACCAGAGCAGTCTCCTCAGCCCAGAGCTCTCACATCCTCGTATTGTTAAATAAACGGAAATATTAATTCTCAGGCCCTCCTCCCTAATATAAAAACGAACTTCACTGCACAATATGTGAATGCTGCCGTGGAGGTAAATATTAGCACCGTTGAACAACAGCGAGACTTGGTCGCCTAGGATAGTGAATTGTATCTGGCGTCTCCTAACAGGTTGGTCACGTAATGTAATGAATTGCTCCTGGTATCTCCCAGCAGGCTAGTCGCCTAGGGTAGGTAGGGAGGTAGTAGATTCGCCTGTATATTAGCCCGGCCTGGGCCTTTTTCAAGTGGTGGCGTGGCTTTGGCTCCCTTTCGCGGGAATGTCTCAGACCAATGTCTGCCATGGGGGGAGATAAAAGTACCTCCTCTTCTTCTGGGACTAGCTGTCCCCAGGCTTAGCCCAATTCCCCGCGCCTACGGGGCTCGGAGGGAAAAGCTAGGCACCTTGGGATGCCACAAAACCCGCCCACACTGGGCTCGAAGGGTGTGGCAGCTACATAGCAGCAGACGATGTCAGGAGGTGCAAAGGCAGCAAGAACTACAGGATCCTTTTGGAGCCACACCTCAGCTTTGGGCATTAATCCCGAGCGTTAGGGAAGCTCAAGAATGCCTCTTGCTGTGTGTGTTGCTGCTGCTATTTCATTTGTCCATTGCACTCTCTCCTATGTCGCCTAGGGTGGTGGATAGTTCCTGGCATCCCCTTGCATTTTGGTCGCCTCGGGTAGTGAATTGTGCCTGACGCCTCCTAGCAAGTTGGTCGCATACTGCACTGAATTGGTCCTAGCGTCCCCTAGCATGTAGGCGGCCAAGGATGATGTAGTATATCAGAACCAGAGAAAGTTTTCGTAGTGAATTTTAGAAAGCATATTCTACTAAATGTCATGTGATTCTTTCACTTACCCAAGTGGTGGTTTGGAGAAAGTCTACGGTATCGTCTTGCCAAGTTTGACTTACTCTTACACTAGCATATTTGAAAAAATCTACGGTACCGTCTTGCTGCGTTTGACTTACATTAAGACAAAACTAAGAATAAACGGTAGTGAAAAACTTCGAAGTACTGTCTCCCTATGACTGACAAACTTCGACTGACAAACTCGCCTACACATAACGCTTTTGAAAAGGGTAGTTTTATGGTAATTACCCAACAGATTAGGATTATTAGATTGATAAAGTCTACTATGCAGGCAAAAAGTTTCTCCATTAAAGATGCCTAGATGTTGTACATGTGTTTTATTCATCAGAATCAGTGAATTCTGTTTGTCACAGTGTCGTGTTCGACTGCATTTTCGATGTCAGTTATGATATAATTTTTTTAATCTCCTGTTTTTAGTCTTCTTTTACCTTAAGGTTTAGTAGAGTAAGTATAGTAAATGCAGCATGGAGAAGGGTGTATACATCATATGAGTCACACATGTGATCAAAATGTCAACCAATATGGAAAATTGAGATAAATCATTGGGATAGAGTAAACGAAAAAAGACGGCTGGAGGGCTAGGCACTCACCTTGCTAGGTGTCATCCTTAAGGATTGTGGTAGTCGTGGTTGTCTGAGGCGGGTGAGCCACCGTCTGAATGGTGTTGGTCTGATTGGCTTGGAACACCAGCAGTGTTACGCTCTCAGGTTGTCTCGTAGGCGAGTCTTCGCCTCTCCTCCTGAAAGACTCGGGAAGAATCCAACCCATCTTGGCGAAGATTGGTGGCAGGAACTCGAACAGTTCCCGACGGAGGTTAGTATTGAGCCAACCGTAGAGGACGGGGTTGATGCAGGCTGAGCTCATGGCGATCATATGGCAGGCACCAAAAACAGTATACAGATGAGTCGGATCTCTGAAACCTTCGTATCCGAAGTCTGCCAGCAAGTTGACGATATTCCAGGGCAACCAGCAGACGCCAAAGGCCACGGCAATAGTAGAGAGCAAAATGGTAGTCTTGCGATTTCTCTCGATTTCTTTCTGCGCTCTCCTGGCATCATACTGTCCCATCATATGCTGGCCCAGGTAACGCTTGATGCGAGCATGCACCACACTCAGCACCACCATGGGGATGCCGTACTGCGTCAGCAGCAGCGCGATGATCCACACGTTCTTCACACTTCTTGAGGGCCACTGGTCGACGCAGCGGGCGTACAGCAGGATGTTGTGGAGCTTTACTTGTTTAACAATATAGTAGAAATACAGTGGCAGTGCGAAGAGTACAGATGAAGCCCAGATGGCGCATATAGAAGCAGCTACGTTTAACTTACTCCCCATTGATCTCCCTACTTTGACAATGGTGGCGTAGCGATCCACCGCTATGGCTACGACCGTCGATGTAGACACCATGATGTTCGCCCCTTGTAGCACAGGAACAAGCTTACAGACAAGGCTCCCCATTCCCCAGTTCTTGTGGAGGAGACCCACGAGTGTGATGGGCATGCAGATCAAGCACATGCTCAGGTCCGACATTGTTAGATTTATGATGTACAAATTCCTGGGCGTTCGCATGGTTCTCTTGCGCCAGATGACCCAGCCAACCATCATATTACCCCCGACCCCGAACAAGATGAGGCTGATGTAGCAGACGATGAAAACGACCTGTGTCACCACGTCCAGGTAGCCAGCCTGGGTGTCAGAGATGATGTCGTAGGCTTCGTTGATAGAGAAGTTAAACAGAGGATGGCGGGAGCCGTTTGTAGCATTAGCAAAGCCGGGATCTAGAAGAAGCTTTCCCAGCTTCTCCCATGAAATGAACTGAGGAGTTAGGTCCTCCTGAGGGGAGAATCTTCCGCCACAGCCTCCGGAGTCACTGCAGGAGACCTGAACGCCACTTACCCCCTCAAACGTATCTCCACCATCTTGCTCCTCCACCACTCCTCCCGTTGAACCCTCACTCGATTCCTCCAACATGAGTAAATGGGTATGGTAAGTGTGGCACATGCAAGAGAGAGGCACTCAGCTGAGCATGGCATACCACGACGGAGACTGAGAACAAACAATATTTAATATTCCTCTAGTCTCACAAATACCTGACTGAGAGAGAGCTTCGTTTCTGCCTCGTAGTAATTAAACGGAGACTAGATTCTCAACGACTACTTGCGCTGAATAACCCAAACAAGTTTATCGATTATCTATTCACATCAAAATAATAATGATATCAGCGTCTTCACATAATTTTCATCTTCTCAGTTCTCATCCACAGTACACTTAAAAATGTTGTTTTCCCTATCGTCTTAGAGTTGTCAGATTTTATGCCGTAAAAGAGCAACAATGCATTTTTTGCATCACATTGAATTTGTCATTTTTCAAACGAGAAAATTAATTAGATGCACATAAAAGCTAAGCCACCTACGACTTTCCTGTCACTGACACCTCACGGAGAGAATCACCTCGACAACGCAGATGTCACCAGAGAGATTGTCTCGACTCTGCCTGAAAAAAGTTCTAATCTAATTCATCACGGACGCTTTATATTTCTTGATATCGCAAGACCACAGTAAAAAAAAGTCGTCTTTTTTTTATTAGACAAGGGCTAAAATAAAAATGTTACACGATCCGGTGAATTATCAGTTCAATTTCCAGCCGTCACGTCTGAATAATCCACAAATCCTTTCCTATACCGCACACCAGACGAGGAAGAAGTGGGCTGGGTCGGGCAGGGGACCAGCTGGGTCGGGCAGGAAGGCCAGCTGGGTTGGGCAGGGGACCAGCTGAGGTAAGGAGAAACTTTCACTTATTCGTCACCTGAATCTGAAAAAAAAAAATTGAGATTAAATCCGGAGACAAGTAGTAATATAATATATATATATATATATATATATATATATATATATATATAAATATAATATTAATATAAATATATATATATATATATATATATATATATATAATGTATGTATTGTATATATATATATATATATATATATAGGAGTATCGAGACAAATGAAGCACTTTGGAAATTAAACTACTCTAAGGATTCGTTTCGCTCACTGGGATTTACTCAAAATAATTAGTTTATCGTCATTCGTTCAATTGGCCGATTTGCTTGAATCCCTTCATAAACGTTACTTTTCCTTACACTCCAACAGCACATCATGTCACCAAAACAACTTGCTTCCACTTACTCCGATCTATTTCACAGAATCCTGCTGGATGTTCAAGCTCCTAGGCCTTAAAACCTTCTTTACACTACCGTCCCCCCCCTCTCTCTCTCTCTCTACATATGTTTAGTCATTCTTATAATATTCTTGGGGAACCGTTAAGCTGGTAGGGGTGCCTCATGCAACGACTGGGGAATTTTATGTAATCAGGTATTAATGTTGGTAGAATTATCGAC